CAACAACTAGACTTAACATTAACATAAGCCGTTCACAAATGACCTATATGAAAAAACAATCAATGAACTATTTTAGATTTTATAAACGATAATCAATGCAATAAAATATCACTATGTTTGTGACATTGTGCCTGTTAACATGTGTGCCAGATTATCTTTGTATATGTGTGTCTAATGTGTGTGTGTAAGTCTGTAGGCCTATGTCTTTAATTATGTATGTCTGTATGCCTGTATGCCTGTATGTCTGTATGTCAGTATGTCTGTATGTCTGTATGTCTGTATGTCTGTATGTCTGTATGTCTGTATGTCTGTATGTCTGTATGTTTGTATGTCTGTATGTCTGTGTGTCTGTGTGTCTGTGTGTCTGTGTGTCTGTGTGTCTGTATGTCTGTATGTCTGTATGTCTGTATGTCTGTATGTCTGTATGTCTGTATGTCTGTATGTCTGTATGTCTGTATGTCTGTATGTCTGTATGTCTGTATGTCTGTATGTCTGTATGTCTGTATGTCTGTATGTCTGTATGTCTGTATGTCTGTATGTCTGTATGTCTGTATGTCTGTATGTCTGTATGTCTGTATGTCTGTATGTCTGTATGTCTGTATGTCTGTATGTCTGTATGTCTGTATGTCTGTATGTCTGTATGTCTGTATGTCTGTATGTCTGTATGTCTGTATGTCTGAATGTCTGTATGTCTGTATGTCTGTATGTCTGTATGTCTGTATGTCTGTATGTCTGTATGTCTGTATGTCTGTATGTCTGTATGTCTGTATGTCTGTATGTCTGTATGTCTGTATGTCTGTATGTCTGTATGTCTGTATGTCTGTATGTCTGTATGTCTGTATGTCTGTATGTCTGTATGTCTGTATGTCTGTATGTCTGTATGTCTGTATGTCTGTATGTCTGTATGTCTGTATGTCTGTATGTCTGTATGTCTGTATGTCTGTATGTCTGTATGTCTGTATGTCTGTATGTCTGCATGTCTGCATGTCTGCATGTCTGCATGTCTGCATGTCTGCATGTCTGCATGTCTGCATGTCTGCATGTCTGCATGTCTGCATGTCTGCATGTCTGCATGTCTGCATGTCTGCATGTCTGCATGTCTGCATGTCTGCATGTCTGCATGTCTGCATGTCTGCATGTCTGCATGTCTGCATGTCTGCATGTCTGCATGTCTGCATGTCTGCATGTCTGCATGTCTGCATGTCTGCATGTCTGCATGTCTGCATGTCTGCATGTCTGCATGTCTGCATGTCTGCATGTCTGCATGTCTGCATGTCTGCATGTCTGCATGTCTGCATGTCTGCATGTCTGCATGTCTGCATGTCTGCATGTCTGCATGTCTGCATGTCTGCATGTCTGCATGTCTGCAAGTCTGCATGTCTGCATGTCTGCATGTCTGCATGTCTGCATGTCTGCATGTCTGCATGTCTGCATGTCTGCATGTCTGCATGTCTGCAAGTCTGCATGTCTGCATGTCTGCATGTCTGCATGTCTGCATGTCTGCATGTCTGCATGTCTGCATGTCTGCATGTCTGCATGTCTGCATGTCTGCATGCCTGCATGTCTGCATGTCTGCATGTCTGCATGTCTGCATGTCTGCATGTCTGCATGTCTGCATGTCTGCATGTCTGCATGTCTGCATGTCTGCATGTCTGCATGTCTGCATGTCTGCATGTCTGCATGTCTGCATGTCTGCATGTCTGCATGTCTGCATGTCTGTATGTCTGTATGTCTGTATGTCTGTATGTCTGTATGTCTGTATGTCTGTATGTTTGTATGTCTGTATGTCTGTATGTCTGTATGTCTGTATGTCTGTATGTCTGTATGTCTGTATGTCTGTATGTCTGTATGTTTGTATGTCTGTATGTCTGTATGTCTGTATGTCTGTATGTCTGTATGTCTGTATGTCTGTATGTCTGTATGTCTGTATGTCTGTATGTCTGTATGTCTGTATGTCTGTATGTCTGTATGTCTGTATGTCTGTATGTCTGTATGTATGTCTGTATATCGACCTCGATCTCGACCTCGACCTCGACCTCGACCTCGACCTCGACCTCGACCTCGACCTCGACCTCGACCTCGACCTCGACCTCGACCTAGACCTAGACCTAGACCTAGACCTAGACCTAGACCTAGACCTAGACCTAGACCTAGACCTAGACCTAGACCTAGACCTAGACCTAGACCTAGACCTAGACCTAGACCTAGACCTAGACCTAGACCTAGACCTAGACCTAGACCTAGACCTAGACCTAGACCTAGACCTAGACCTAGACCTAGACCTAGACCGAGACCGAGACCGAGACCGAGACCGAGACCGAGACCGAGACCCAGACCCAGACCCAGACCCAGACCGAGACCGAGACCGAGACCGAGACCGAGACCGAGACCGAGACCTAGACCTATACTTAGAACATACTGGAATTTAAAAGCTTGCAGACAAGTAAATACAATTTCTAAGCTCAGACAGATTTGCGGTCAAATATTTGAACAGAGCTTAAGAAATTTAAACAGAGCTTACTTAGAGATATGAATACTGCTTTCCGTAATTATTGGCATGATTCAAAATAAATCAATAAAATCTATCGATTTCTCTGTAGCTTCAATGATAATATAATTTTAAATTTTGCGCTCTGTGATGAGGGTAGACGTATTTAAATGTAGGCCATTGCGTCTGCTAACTATAGTGTCTGATAATTTGTCGAATAGGGATTTTCTCTAAACAAAAACTAACAAATTATACATAATAATAATTTGTTTTACTTCTAGCTAAAATAAACGGGTCTCCGTTTTTTGCAATAAGCTCTTTTTAAACACATCAATGGTTTAATATTTTCATTCAAGCAATATAACAAAAATATTGTTTCTTTTCAGGTACCAAAAAAAAAACTTTTTTACTATTTAGATTTCAGTGGAAAAAATGCCACAGAAAATATAATTTTAGAACAAAATTTGTTTATAACAGGGCACTGCAGCGATGCAATATAAAACAAAACAGTTATACAAAATTAATCATTCAAATATATACATGTACTGATTAATGTTTTATCATTCCATTACTTTAAGTTATACTAAAATAAATTAATCGACATTAATAAAACCCGTTTAAATTTTGTTTCAGAAAATATAAATATACTAGAAATGTTTCTGAGTATGCATTGATACATTTGAAAATATTTGATAGACATATAACTAATACACATATAAAAAAGAACACAACTTAACATGTCATTTGTAAGCTATTGATTTTATTTGTTTTCAAAGTGCGACAGATAAACATCACATTAAAACAAGCCATAAAAAATAAAGGAGAAAACATCGCCTCAGCAAATTCAAAAAGATGAAAACTTCCATTGACATAGATGATTTGAAAAGCATAAAATAAATATAAAAAATAAATAGACTTAAATAACAACTTTGGTAAATGTAGATGGCTAAACTGCAAAAGCGTCGTAAACTTAAAAAGGAAGAATTTCACAAAAAAAACCCACCCCTAACGGTCGTACCTATCTTACCCCAACATCTTAACTAATATTATGTTTGTTTAAAACATTACCTGAAAATAGTTTCCGATTAAAACGTTCACTATGCCTTAACAAAAAAACATTGCAAAAGTTAATAAATAGCATAACAAAACAGAATTGATTATTTAATATTACTTTATCAAATATCAATAACCATAAAAAGACACTTGTAAATAATTGTATAACTCTAATGTAATATACAGCAAACAAATGTGACAAATTATGTGGTAGTGTTAATAACTGTTTCATAAATATAAGTACATCATATCGAAGCGTGAAAAGGAGTGTAATGGCAATCAGCATGTGATCAATGGTTAACGTCTTGATAGAAACACAGATACATTTGCAGTATTTAAATTATGGATTGATGGTTTATGTGGTATTTGCGATAAATTATCAAAAATATAACTTTAAAAAAAAAATTAAAACAATTTACACGCTATTGTTTGTTACAGACGTGGTTTGACTGTAAATAAAGTATAGTTAACATGTTACCTCACAATCTCAATACACAATACTGAGGTTAGTGGGGTCATCAGCAAGAGAAATTGTGTTAATTAATATAAAATTTCATAAACTGCCAAATAAAGGACAAACTATACATGCAGATCGATCTGGCTCATTTAAATTCTCATGCTAAATAGAAAATATTAAAACGTTGCACAAGGTGTGTGACCCATTAAAAACAATTAACTGGCAAACCAATGCATTCACAGACCTTATATTTATGTAACGCGAAATAAGAATAATAAAACCTAATTGATATTGCAATAAATGTCGCTTAGTAAATTATTTTATTTAGATCAGATACATCAATTAATACATCACATTTTTAAACAACATTGATACAATACATTTAGAGTTTCAGTTGCCTTAGTTACTTATAAACATTTTGATTTTGTATTAAATACGAGCTATCACGATTAATAAACGTAGAAATATATAGTTTTGTTTGAAAAAGTTAAACGTGTCATCAGATTTTTAATAATCTCTTTTGGGAAAAAAAGTTATAAAGGTTTTAAAAGGTGTTAGCTTTCACACCTTTTCATGGTTTCCATGGCAACCAGTACTGCTATTGATAGCTATATATTATTTTTTTCAAAAGGTTAAAAAACTATTAAATATTAATATATTAAACACACTGAAACATGTCCCGTGTAGTTAAAAAGAGTAATTAATTTATAAGTAAATTATGCAATAAAATTCCATTCCAAATCTGCGGTCCACTGGGCTAGTGAAGTAGAGTTCACTTAATTCTGTGACCTCGACATATGAAGGGATAGTCTGGTCATCACTATGCCCAGCAGACTTTGCTAGACCACTCCACCCCTAATAAATTTACAAGCAGCAAAATAATTTTTTTTTCTTTACACATTTATTTACAAGTAGACTATCTAAGTTTTATTCAAAATATTTTATTTTGTGTGCAACGTAATAAGCAATGATCCATCTACACAAATTATCAATTATAAACAGTTAAAGATTACATATACTACTTTTCTTTAGTTTATGATGCAATTCTTTTTTATCTGAATATTCCAAGGCCATTTTAAACTTCTCCATTTCCCTCTGTAAATCATTGTCGTATCCTAGTACTTTTAACTTCAGGTGTTTTTCTTTTTTTGATTTGTGCATAGTGTAATTCGTAGATATATTTGGTCTAACTGTTGTGTTTCGTCTAGACAAAAATTAGACAAAGAAATCAGTTTTAAAACAAAAATTATGAATGATTATAATACTAATCACTTGTTTTAAAATATTCTATTCTTCTATTCTTCGGGCTAAAATTATGACGTTATGTGAATAAATAATTGATTTACTATTGAAAGATGTGTTTACATTTTACACAATGTTTTTTCAACTTTGCGTTTCTTCAACAATAATGTTTGGACTAACAGTTCATGCTTTCTCTTAAGAATTTTTCTCTTCGTAATGAAGGTTTCATGATGTTTCTGTATGTTTCTTTGAAGAGATTCGTCGCATAATGTTTGGTAGCTTGATCTAAAATTAGAAGCATTATTTGAATGTTTAGAATTAAAGTGGGAAGACGGACGGATTCGTATTAAAAGCTGCATAAAGAATCACAAAAACTAATTCGGAATTTTGAAATTAGTTAGGGATAATGTAATTCTGACATCAACTTGACAAAGTTTTGTTTTTTTCTCTTTTAATCAATTCGTTATTATGTGGATATTAAACAAATAACTCTGATATATATATATATATATATATATATATATATATATATATATATATATATATATATATATATATATATATATAAGTATTAAATATTGGATAAATTGACGAGATCATAATATAATTGAAATGTTTTTCTCTTTACTTTTCGTAGAGTCAAAATAACTACTCATTCTGAATCGATTGTTAATGTCCTGTTATTATGATTAATCAAGACATTTTAATGTATAATATTTATCAATAAACTAGGAAAACAACTAACAACTCTTATAAACCGAACTTTATCTATAAAAATAACAAATAGTTTAACCGATTGAAATCTAACTTATAAATAGCTTCTAAAAATGGTAGGTAATTTTTCCTTCAGGCAGTGTTTCTTCCAGACTTTTTTCACTACGGGGAAAATTTTCGGGGGTCTGATTAAAATTTCCGGTGGAGGGGGGACGGGGGCAGACACTGTTAAACGTATTTATTTTGTATATAAATTTCATTTTGTTTGGGCGGGGGGGGGGGGGTAGTAGACGTTCTTTGAGGGGGTTGGAAAGCTTTCAGGTCAAATGATGCATAGGAAATGTAAAGAAAAATGTATATGATTTTTTACCACGACATATGAAGAGGTATACTTATCAGCATTTTACTTTCCATAATATGAGTCAGGTACCCATCATTGCTAGGTGTACTCGAGTAAATATTGCAGAATCATGCCCGGTCGTAATGTGAAGTGTAGACTTTTAACGCGCACTACCTCCGCTCTCTCACTCATAGATTAATGTAAGCAGGATTTTAGCCCATCACTGACCTTTGCAAAGGAGAATATTGGTGTGTTGTGTTGTCCAAAAATTCAGAAGTTTCTGGACAGCTGCTTGATGTCGTAGCATCATTACTGGCACCCATATTATCCGTCTCATTACCGAGCACCATAATATCAGATGTTTCCACAGGGACAAACTCGCTAGTAGAATCTGTGTTGTAATCTGCCGTCAATAATGGCGTATCAATCACGTTTTGAGCACCTTCTGTGAAATAATTTGTAACTGGATTGTGGTATATTAATTAAATTTTAATCTACTTGGTCTATAAAACTCAAACGTTTTCGAAATTTAAAAAAAAAATGTTAATTTAAAACAAAATACTTTCATGTTTATATACTACTTTTTATCAATATAGAATGTTTCTATCCCAACTTTAACTTAAACTATAATAAGTAACTACCTGTTGTATCAATCGTGTTCGGTTCATTTCTTTCCTGATTCTCTGTGGCATCTATGGATTCTTCATTAATGTTTGATTTTTCATCTTTCTGTTCTACTAACATCGAATCATTTCTTTCTACAACAGGTCTATAATCTTTTAAGTCCCCCTGACATATTTCACATATTAATTTCACTATAGTCCTGTCACAGCTACTGACTTTGTTTGCGACTTGATCTGTCAGCTGTTTTTTTACCTGACTTTTCATCCTTCGATAACAATTTATAATACAGTTGGTGTTGCTATTTGTAAACTTGGGATACTTAATTTTGAATTCGGATGTGATCTTTTCCCAAGCTGCTTGTCTCTTTGATATGGTAGGTTTGTCGCGTTTCTTTGATTCTATGATGTAACTTTGTGCATTTACCATTAGAAGAAGGTCAGTTTTTTCTTTAATTGACCAGTTTACTGGGCGTCTTGAGCTTATGTTGCTGTTGTCTGCACGACTAGATAATGCAATTTCGGCTGTTTTTTTAATGCCCTTTGTCCCTAGTAAAATGTATTTAAGATAACATAATTTTAATTTTTTTTTTACTTTACACACACTAACATAAATCATTATATTTGTATATTTTAAACATTTACGTAAAATAACAGGCAAATATCGGCAGTTAGTATTCAAAAAGTATTTTTTTTTATTTAGTGAACCTAAATTGTACAGTGAACCACTTTAAACTTCTGGCATACAGAGTTTTTAGGGAGTACTGTAATACAAATGTTCTCGGAACTGGCATGCTTAATTTTGAATATTTCTTTTTAAACATTCAAGATATATGTCTATATGTTATAAAGTAGAATTGAAAATTGAGCCGACATTTTAATTTAAAAGCGGAGACCTTTTATTTCTTCAAAACATCAACATTTTGACTATTTAGAAGAAATGTTAGCTTCCCTCCACCATCGCCCTATTTAAAATTGCGATGGAACCCCTATTTGCTTATTTTTCAAGAAAATTGGCGCTTATTTGACTATTTAAATTAGTTTTTTTTTGCCCCTAGTCTACTACGTTTGAGCTTATTTTTGTTTTTTTAATTTGAAGCAATATTTTTGCTTAATTTTGACCCTTATCAAATCACATATTTCGTTTAAACTTTCCAGTTACATTCATCTTAGATGACAATGCAAGAACCACACATTTTAAACTTTCAATGTTTAACGCGTTTTAAAGCTAATTTTCTGTCGAATATAACTTTAACAATACGTTCGTTTGCTGTATTTATTACGGGAGGCCTCCACCATTTGTTCCATATCTTCCGATCCCCTGCTATTAATTTTGTTATCTCCCAAGCCATCCCTGTTGGCTTCAGTTCTCCAAGAAGACTCCGCCTCCAGGTCTGTCTAGGGCGCCCTCTCTTCCGCTTTCCCTGGGGTTCCACTCAAGCGCTTGGCTTGTAACATTTGCGTGTGCCTTTCGCAGTGTGTGACCCATCCAGCGCCACATCCTCCTTCTTATTTGCACACCCTTAGGCTCCTGCCTAGCTTTCCTCCATAGTTCTATGTTTGGCACTTTGTCCTACCATCTCAGTTTCAATATCTGTCTAAAGCATCTATTCACGAAGATCTGTATCTTTGCTGTGCTTGCTTTGGATACTCTCCATGTCTCTTCTCTATACAGACATTTGAGTTAAATATCCTAATTTTTGTTGTAATGGAGATGGCCGAACTTTTCCATATGGGTCGCAGAACTGTGAAAGCGCAGCGGGCTCTAATAATTCTAGCACGTATGTCCTCCTCTGTGCCTCCCTTTTTGCTGATCTTGCTGCCAAGGTAGAAAAACTCTTCCACATCCTTAACCCGTCTTCCGTCTATTGTCACTGGGGCCTCCTGGTTGTTGTTAATTCTCATCACTTCTGTCTTTTCTTTGTTGATCTTGAGACCTACGCGCTGAGAGATGGCTCCTAATGCAGCAACTTTTTCTTGCATGTCTTGTAGCCTGTGCGAGAGTAAGGCAAGATCATCTGCAAACTCCAGATCTTCTAGTTTCCCCGTGAGTGTCCACTGTATACCTTTTCCAGAACTGGCATAGGCTGTGCGTGTCACCCAATCAAGAACCACCAAGAAGAGGAGGGGCGACAGCAGATATCCTTATCTCACACCTGTGTTGACCTGCAACTTTTTAGACAGTTTCCCAGCATGCCTAACTTGGCATGAAAATCTATTGTAAAATTGCTGCATTATTTCCACTAACTTAGCAGGAACACTATAGTGTCTCAATAGATTCCATATTGCTTGCCTATCCACACTATCAAAGGCCTTCTCAAAGTCAAAAAAGCAGATGTAAAGCGGGGCTTGCCATTCTATCGTCTGTTCTACAATAATTCTAAGAGTGGCTATTTGATCTGAATAAGATCTTTCCTTCCTGAACCCTGCGTGTTCCTCTCTTAGCTTAAGGTCAACCGCCTCTTTCATTTTGATCAAAATAGCTCTGGTAAGGATTTTACTTGGGATGGACAACAATGTAATGCCCCTCCATTTTCCACACTGAGATAAGTTATCGTTCTTAGGCAACTTTAAAAGGAGGCCCCTCTTCCAGTCGGTTGGGATCTGTCCTGTGTTCCAGACTAAGTTAAGTAATTTATTAAGTCGATTTACTACTTCTTCTCCACCTTGCTTTAATGCCTCTGCTGGCATATTATCTGGTCCCGATGCCTTGCCACTCTTCAAACTATTTAAGGCGTTGAAAATTTCCTGTCTGATGATTTCCTCGGTATTGATTGTGGTGATGTAATGTGTATGAAAGGTGAATACGTGGAACGGATCACTGCGTGTGTGTATGTTCATGTAGTGAGACGCGAGGCCGGGTGTGTTGACGTGTATGTTGTTGTACGGAGTGAACGAGGGTACAAGGGAGCGACTGGTCGGGTGACAGCGGCTGTGTTGTGAGCGAGAGAAAGGGGGTGTGTAAGGATGAATGCGGGTGACAGTTGGATGTTGGGCGTAAACGGAGGCAGGTTGATTTTGTGACTGGAGATAGAGAAATAAAGGACTGTGATATCTAGCTTCAATTGTGTTGTGTATTTCGTTGAGCCTCAGACACCCTCACATTGATGTTAAGGGGTTCCCCTGGCTCCAGATCTGGTGGATTTTGAGGTGCTGGTTCATTTAGTATCTCCTGGAGGTGTTCTCTCGATCGTGCCAATTGTTCCTCATTTTTGCTCCTCACCGGCCTGTTGTGATTCGTTTTCACCCCACTCACAGCTCTGGTTGTTGCTAAGAGCGTCTTGGGATCTCCCTTACTGGCAGCTGTTTCGGCCTGCTCTGTCATTTCATTTATAAACAATCTCTTGTCATTTCTTATTTTCCTTTTCATCTCTTTAGCGTTTTCGTTATATCGAGAGGCTGCTGCTTGTTTCTGCTGCCGTGTTTTTGCTTGATTTAGTTTGCTCTTTAGGCTTTTTCTTTCTTCCACCTTCTGCCATGTATCATCTGTGATCCAGGGCTTCCTGTTGGGCGCTCTACCTCCTAGAGCCTCTTAATAGGCTTCAATAGTGGCTTGCTTAAATATTTCCCAGGTGTGTTTAACTGAATCGAAATCTTTTTCTTTTATCAAACCGATTCTTTAGGGTGACCTGAAAATTTGTCTTGTTATCTTGTGTCCCAAGTTTACTTACATTAAATCTTCTTCGTGAATCAATTTCATGTTGCCTCCTCTTCGCCTTTAGCTTCATCTTCAGTTTAGCAACAACCAGGTGATGGTCGGATCCTATGTCAGCTCCTCGCTTTGCTCTCACATCCTTCAGTGAGGCCCTCCAACGACGACGTACCGCGACATGATCAATCTGCTTTTCAGTATGATGATCTGGTGATATCCAGGTGGCTTTATGACAACTTCGGTGGGGGAAAAGTGTGCCGCCGATAGTAAGCTCATTTGAGGCACAAAAGTCTGTGAAGAGTTCACAATTTTCATTCCCATCTCCATTTCCCTGCCTCTGCTGTCTTTGCTTACTTTGGCATTTAAATCACCCATGAGATCAGCATGTCGCGCATGGGTACCTTATCAACCACCGACTGAAGCTCGTCGTAGAAGCGGGTTTTTTCTTCATCAACTGCATTGTTCTTAGGAGTGTAGCACATGATAATGGAGGTCTTTTGAAACCTGGATTCAAATCTAGCTTTAATTATTCGATCAGATACAGGTTCCCATTCCATCAGGCTTTTTATTGCCTCCTTTGTCAATAGCAAGGCTACGCCTGTCTCTCGTGGGTCGTCCTCATTTTCTTTTCCCGAGTATAACAGTGTTTCTCCTGTCTGGATTTTGTCTCTCCAAAGGTGTTCCATCTTGTTTCGCTCAGGCCGAGCACTGTAAGATGATACTGTTGCATTTCTTTCACTGCATGTGCACACTTCCCTGCTTCCCATAGTGTTCTGACGTTCCATATTCTTATGAGGTTATGCTTTTTTGCGACAGTAGTTTTGGGGCTGTGGATTTAGTTTTCCTCGGTTGAAAAGGAGCGTCGGCTCTGTAGCTTCCTTGCGGATTTAGCTGCATTGCGTCATACTTTTCCTAAGTGGAGACTTGGTTCTTCCGAGGACTGGATTAATTTCAGATTTGGCTTCGGTTTCTGTAACTATATTTTGTTTTATATGGACGAGTAGTTAGCCCATCGCACAACCCCCAACCTGGAGGACCAGGGCACAACGTTTGGTCTGGCCCCTACCCGTGCAGGTCTGTCCGAATTGGTTAGACCTTCCAGGAGCACTAGGCTCCCGCCGGCATAGCTCTGGGGGTCGCTGGGGCACACAAGCCATCCCACCACTTCAAGGCGGTGTGCCATCAGGATGGCTGCTGAGATGTGGTTCGCTTTAAATGTTTTCAATTGTAAAGTTAGTAAAAACTATTATTGGCAGATAATAGAGTTGTTAGACGGTTTCGAAACAAAAGGGGAGGCTACAAGATTAAGAACTAGCGATCGCTTAATTAACTTGCTATCGTCCTTGAACAGTGATCACGGGCTGTTGCTTTCACGTCCTAGAACTGCCGTTGTACATAAAAAACAAGTACTAAACACTTATTTTAAATAAGAATACCTGCTTTGTAAAGTATGTTTTCATCACGTTCGATTTTATGATCTGTGTCTTCCATGTTTTCATGTTCTACAATGGCCTGCTGATCTTTCTGAACTACAGGCAAAATATATATTAAAAATATTCGTCATGTATATATATATATATATATATATATATATATATATATATATATATATATATATATATATATATATACTTTTGTTTTTAAGTATGCCTATCTCTACTAAAAAATTGCCTATTTCTATTTGGAAACTATACATCGATTAAAGACAGAAAGATAAAAACAAAGTAGAGGCAAATATGAGATAATAAATATTAATTATTCAAGCATAGATTTCAACTGCTAATGTTATGGTTAAATAAATGCATAATTTAGGTTATATAGAGTTAACTTGCAGTCTATTGAAGAGGTATAAACGATAATTTTGCTAATATTTCCAAAACTATATAAGTAAGAAATGTTATATAAAATAGCATTAACTGACAATAAGAGCTAACAACGCACAATTACGAATTATAATTAGTCTGAAACAACATTGGAGCAGTGTCATACAGTGGGTTCACTATAATTTTCAAAATATCGTACGGCGTAGAAAGTTAAACAATTTCTAATATCGACAAAATAATTGAGCGAAATTAATTTGCGTCAATAAAATAGACGCAAAATATACAATTTGCAAACCAACTTTATTTTTTAAGTAAATACACACTGATACAATTAATTATTAATAAATATAGATTTAATCATAACATCCGATTTTCCAGTTCTTATCCAAGACGCATGGGGCAAGTTACAAGATTTCATCTATTTTAATGATCTTAGAGTACTGGGGGACAATAGATGGGATCAAAAATATCGTTCTGACTAATATTGATACCCGATTTTGAGAACTGTGGGTTAGCAGTCGAGAGCTTTACCTTTCGATCACGTCGTCTCTCAAATTAATGTTTAGCCAGAATATTAATGCTGAATATAGTTTAAATGTGTTAGATTGTACTTACTTTGTAGGCCTACAAGAATGCCTCTGCTTTTCTTTTTAATTTCTTTTTTAATTTCTTTATCAAGCAGTCCTCGCATAAGAATTTCATCCCCTGCGATTTCGTGCACGAAACGTGTGTTTGAGATTAATTTCTTTACCAGCCCATTTAACAACTCACTTGTCCCGTTACGGTTGGCATAACGTAAACATTTTAGGGGTATTAATGAACAAATCTGTAAAATATAGAATCAGAGAAATTTTACAAACACTAGACATAAATTATATAGTTTGTGGTCATGTATCTATAATGTCCAGAGAGGGGGGATGAGAAAACAAATGATTTTGTGCAAGCGTGCCCTTTGGGGTTTATTAGGATGTGTGTGTGTGTGGGAGGGGGGGGGGGGGGGTGATGGACTACTTTATGTTGAATTTCACTTCAAAGTACTTTTTTATTAAATAAAAAAAATGTTAATCTTAATTTGAATTGCATGCATCTGTATGTGTTCATAACATATTGTTTGTGGTGCTTGTAATAGCTTACCAAAGAGATCGTTTTCAAGAGACCGATATTGTTTACATTAGTAGTTTTACAAGGAGTGAATATAAAAAGAACAATTGACTCTAGGTATATCATGGTGTAAAGCGTTTATTTTAATCTAAGTTTTATTATTGTTGTTTGGTGTATTATGGTACAGACAACATACTAGTACCATTTGTTAAAATAAAAATAGCGGTAGAAAAAAGTGGGCTAATATAGATTTTTAAATCGCTACCTGTTTTTCTTACATGATCCTGTTGTTTTTTTGCATGTAAAATAACCCAAAAAGTAAGAGGAAAATGGTTAATTCGTACTGCCTAAAAACAATTCAAGTCAGAAAATTTATAGGAAATTATTGCAATTTAAACTAAAAAAGTCATGATTTGATAAAGAATGGTGGTGTAATTAATACATTAATACACAAAAAAAATTAACAAAACGTATTGCCCCTTTTGAGTCTAAATAGTACTACTGATGTGTCGAATAGGTACTGACATATTTAAATAATTTCTTTCGTAAAATTTAAGGCTTTTGTAATTAAACAATAACCAATGTATTTTAAAGTTAAATAAAGAAAGTTACATAAATAAGCCTCAGGTGACCAGTGTTTTAAGAAAAAAGAAACTAGTTTTCCCGAAGCTACATGAAAGAAAGACATTCTAAAATCAAACCAAAATGTGACAAAACACAAAAACTGATTTACCGTTGCTTGTGTATGATCGATTCTGCAATATTTTTAACAGTATGAAAAATGCATAATCTAGAATGATTTCCTCGTGTTTCCCAAATTTTCTAACGGATTTGGGGTAAGCAAAATAAGGGTGGTACTAATGCTCGCTGGTAAATATTGCCTCTTTCACCCTACATGAGGACAAAGAACTATAATACGCTTGTCGATCTCCGTTGAAAATTATGCCGCGAACGCTTCAAGGGTTTGCTTGCTTATTTTATATTAAAAATAATAAAACAGGTATTGCAGATTATTTTGATGTGGGTTAGAAAATGGTGCAGACGTATTTATCTATTCCTTTCAATTAAAATACAATCAGTTCTAGGGTTACACGAAATAATACAATAATTTCTCA